GGGCGCCCGGCCCCTCGCCGTGCGGCGGGAGGCTTGAGCACCACGCGGAGCTGCCCGCCGACGTCCCCAGCACGCGCCCCGCGCACGAGGCAGCAAAAAGTCGCAAGCGCGACAAGGCGGCTCATCTCGGCGGCTGTGGGTCTGCAGCCGCGCTCATGCTCCTCGCCGGCCTCCCCGCTCCCCGGTCAAAGGCCGCTGCATAAAACGAACGGCGGGTGTGCTGCCCGGGTGCGGCCTCCTTCCTTCTGCCTGCAGGGTGAAACAAAAACAACAGAAGATCACAGCTCGGCCTCGCGTGCGCCCCACGCCGCCCGCGCACGAGCAGCCTCACCCGCCACCCACGCGCCCGTCAAGGCATTGCATTAAAAAGACGTCTGCCGATCGCCGGACTCGCTGGGCCACGCAAACTGGCAGCGTTTGGGGCACTGCCACCGCCGGACTCCCCCGCGTGAAGACCAGCGGGGGCGGGGGAGGGCGTGACAGAAAACCGAAAAAACTGCACTCGCTGCCGTCCAACGCGGGATCTCTGGAAACAAGGCCTCGTCAAACAAAAAAAAAAGCGGGGCATCCCTACAAAAAAAATCATCGTTTACTTTTATCCACCCCCATCGCGCGACGGTTATTTCTACAAGTTCCTACAAAAATAAATTCATCCACCGCCGAGACGCTTGCGCCGCACAAAGTTAACGTACATGCAGACCCGCTGCGCACAGCCAGTGCAAAAGACAAGGGGGCGGGCGGGGCCCAGTGCACCGCCAAAGGCGTGCGGGCCATCGGGCGGTCCTTCTTGCTCCTTCCACCGCACGCCGTTTGAGACGTGAAAAACACACACACACACACGCCGAAGTAGAATAAAACAAAATAAAACACTGAAGTTAAAAAAAAGATATCAACGTATTTCTCTGTTTTCGCTTTCTCTACATACTCCAGAAACGGTGTGCGTATAACCAAAAAATCACTGTTTTCCAAATGCGGTTTAGAATAAAAATAAAATAAAGAGGGGAAGAGACAACATACCCCAACGTTTTTCTCTTTTTTTTCATTTTGCTAGCGTCCAACGAATGCCACAGAAAAGGCGGACTTCTTCTTCCCAACTTGTGTGGCGCCGTATATCAGGGGACGCGTATGTTAATCGCCCGCTGCTAGGAGGCCGGCGGTGGGGGTATCTTGCAGTTAAACAATCTTAAATATCACGGACGCCTGCTCCGTAGCGAGCGGCGCGGCATTATTGCCCTGCTGCGCGGTGCTTGCGCCCGGCCGCTGCTCAAAGCGGCACTACCGCCGCCGCCGCGGTGACCGTGGCGAGGACAAGCAGACTGGAGAGAACAGCAGCACTGCCTTCTTGGCCATCTTTTTTGCCGTCCTTGCCGTCTTTTTTGCCGTCCTTGTCGTCTTTTTTGCCGTCCTTGTCGTCTTTTTTGCCGTCCTTGTCTGGGGAGCTGAGTTTGACGAGGCTGCTGCCGTTGGCGGCGATGGTGCACACCTCCTCGTACTTCGGGCACTTGATCTTGCCGCCGTCCTTGAAGTGCGCCGACTTCGGCGTG